CGCTCTTCCTGAACAAACCCACTGTCTGATGCTTCCAGGTCTCTGGAAGCTTCTTTGGGTCCCCTTAATTTAGGAGTTCTCCTGGGGCTACCCCGGTTGGCTAGAAAATGAGTAGTTTTTAATGCTTTGAAGATTAGGAATGTCAGATTTGAAAATGTAACTTTTAAACAATAAGATCTCTATAAAGAAGAGCTTCTCAAACCCCATCTCCTCCTCTCCATCAGAGGACCTTTAGCGAGTCTGGACACATTGTTGGTTGTCACAACTAGGGAAAGGGGTGCTGCTGGCATCTGGTAGGTAGAGGCCAGGGATGCTGCTCAGCACCCTACAATGCACAGGACAGCCCCTACGACAAAGAACGATCCCACAAAAAATGTCAGTAGTGTTGAGGTGGAGAAATATGCTCCCCCTCATAATGCTCTGAGTTGGTTAAATAAACATCCCTGGGGCTTCCCTGGTGGTGCAGTGGTTGAGAGTCCGCCTGCCTATGCAGGGAACACGGGTTCGTGCCCCGGTCCGGGAGGATCCCACATGCCACGTAGTGGCTGTGCCCGTGAGCCATGGCCGCTGAGCCTGCGCGTCCGGAGCCTGTGCTCCACAACGGGAGAGGCCACAACAGTGAGAGGCCTGCGTATGCCAAAAAAAAAAAAAAAAAATTCCCTGTAAACAGAGCGCTAAATAGAATAGCTATGAGATGACTAATCTCTTTCTACCATCCATTGAAAAAGGAACATTATGACCAGGAGAAAAAGATGCTGTCATATGTTATCACCTCAGAGCATCATAAAAAAACGCTCTTTAAACCACTAGCTACTGACACTGTAGTTTCTATTCCAATATTCTATCCATAGCCAACTCCCTCCTTGATAAGGAGAGGTAGGTCATAAACTTCAGCCATTCTTGGACCACCTTTATGATTTGTATCACGTTCATAAAACACCTCTACTTTCCAACTTTTGAATTGGCTTTCTTTATTTCCAAAGGAAAATGTATGTTACTGGCACTGTGGGCATCCAGCATCACTGTCATATGTAGATTGCCATAGATTTATGGTACTATTGCTTTCCATATATAAATTTCATAACAGTAAAATTAATAAAATGAAATCAAAACAGTTATTATTTCATTCTAACTACAGGCTATTACTTGCCAAAGCCTCCTCTGTGTTGAAAAGTTAGATAAATAAGTGCTAGAAAAAAGTTAATGAAATACTGAGACATTTCCTGGTTAGATTTCAAAGAATTGCAAATGGGAATGACTCCGATTCAATGTAAATTAACGGGGTGCTACTTTGGGAACCCTGGTGTAGTGAAAACCACATGAGGGTTGGTGTCTGGGGCCTGGGTTCCCAAGTCCTAGGATATCCCATGTACTAGGTGAGTGGCCTTGGAAAAATCTCTCACCCTCTCTGAGCTTCATCTTTCTTATGAGTAAGGATGATCACCCTACTAAGTTCCCAGAGCTGTGAAGAGACAAATAAAATAATGTAAATGAATGTAGTTTACAAACATAGTAAAGAATTATTATTAAGAGGAGTATTGAGTGGCAGTATAGCACTCTGGAGCCAGACTCCCTGGGTTTGAATCCCCTTTCTGCCACTTACTAGCTCTGTGAACTTGCCTCAATTTCCCTATCTATAAAATGAGTGTGAAACATGACATATCTTATAAGATTGTCATGACCATTAATTAATACATGGAAAACACTTATAACTGGACCTAGAGAAATGAAGCATTAAAGAATTAGAAGGAGAAAAATCCCTAAGGGTTCAGATTATTACTTTTCTGTTCTCCCCAATGTTGGGGGAAAGTTATATTTAAATTTCCTGAAAAGCCCAAATGGAGGGCCTCAGGATAGAATAAGGGCCAGACGCTGAGTAATCACTAATGTGGACTGACTCAGAAGTTTCTAGTGTGAGGTGCAAAATTGCAGTGCTTCCGGAGGCTAGAGAAAGGGAAACACTCCATGTACCTCGCTTTTGAGAAGCTGCCTTGCAGGATGTTGCACAGGGTCGCTGGTCCACCTCCTGTGAGGTCTGTTTATTTTAAGGCTTCCTCAGCAGAGTTCTGCCTTTTAGGCGAGTAAATGATTACGTCCTTAGGGATGAGTAATTCCCTTCTAATGGTCCAGCCCCCACTAGACATCCCAGGAGCAATGAAGAGTTGCACTTGAACATGGGGATTAGATTCTGAGTTAATATCACTCTTCTGAAGAGAGAGAGGAGGGACCTTGTTACTCGCCACTCCAATTCAATGACACTAACCGGTGACAGTGTGGAGAGGCCACCAAACAGCTCCCTGTCTTTGCTCATCCCCAGGGAACATCCCGACCAGAGCAGAACCGGCTTTGGCAGTGAGAGTCTTCTGCTTCGAGGCTGCACCATCAGAAACACCAGAGTGGCTGTTGGCATTGTCATCTACGCGGGTAACACTCCCTGGACAGCTTCCTATGTCTCTGTCCTTTATCCTCTCTCCTCCCAAACCTCCTCCAAATTTATCTTCAGTCAGTGGGAACTCACATCAGTTCTAAGGAGTAGAGTCATGTGACTTCCCATTTCTCAGCTAAGCAAACTGAGGCTGGAATCACAGCAGCTCACTTGGTCCACAGAGACATAATTCAGTTCCAAGTTACTGTCACTCATCCAGACAAGACAGGGAGGGGGACTCATGCTCATGTGTCCCTAACACTTTTCTGACACTAACCACAGGTGGGATGAAGAGTATCTCCTTGAGCCTGAGGAATAACCTCACCAAACTTAGCAACTTCACCTTGTATGCCTCAGTGTCCTCAGCTATACAACAGGAAGAATATTTCTATCTGCCCCATAGGCCCCCCCCCCATGAGGGTCCAGTGAGCCAGCACATGGAAAGAACCCAGAACTGTGTGTAGCAAGTGAGGGCGGGATGGGTTTTAGTTATTGTTCTTATTATTATCTTTATTCATTTTGTGGCTCCATATATGGTGGTCTATCTCTCCTTTGCACTTTGATTTTGCTTCCCATTGAAAAAAGGTAACAGCAGCACATCTCACAATGATACCTGAAGTATTGGAGGGGGGTCTTGGGACTGCTGTGTCCCCAGTACCTAGCACCTGGCACACCCAGGGTACTCAGTACGTGTCTATTGTTACATGAACAACTGCATACTTCTTCTGTAGAGGAAACACAGTCCCCCTGGAGTGTCTACCTTCCCTGGAAGTCTCCAGTACACGTTTCCCTGGATCTTCCATTCACTGGGACACCTTGTAGTATTTCATTTGCTTGTTATTTTGTTTGATTTGATTTGTTTTGGTCTGAGTAGACTCCCACTTTTGTTAGACATAGAAGAGCACTAAAACATCAATCCACCCTAAGATTCCCTTTGGGGGACTGTGAAAGAAAAATAGGCTTTTCAACAAATGCTGGAGAAGGTGTGGAGAAAAGGGAACCCTCTTGCACTGCTGGTGGGAATGTAAATTGATACAGCCACTATGGAGAACAGTATGGAGGTTCCTGAAAAAACTAAAAATAGAATTACCATATGACCCAGAAATCCCAGTACTGGACACATACCCTGAGAAAACCATACTTCAGAAAGACACGTGCACCCCAATGTTCATTGTAGCACTATTTACAATAGCCAGGTCATGGAAACAACCTAAATGTCCATCGACAGATGAATGGGTAAAGAATATGTGGTACATATACACAATGGAATATTAGTCAGCCATAAAACGGAACAAAATTGGGTCATTTGTAGAGACATGGATGGACCTAGAGACTGTCATAGAGTGAAGTAAGTCAAAAAGAGGAAAACAAATATCACATATTAACGCATATATGTGGAATCTAGAAAAATGATACAGATGAACCAGTTTGCAAGGCAGAAATAGAGACACAGGTGCAGAGAACAAACGTATGGACACCAAGTGGGGAAAGTGAGGGGTGGTGGTGGTGGTGGGATGAATTGGGAGATTGGGATTGACATATACACTAATATGTATAAAATAGATAAGAACCTGCTGTAAAAAAAATAAATTAATCAAATTAAATTTTAAAAAAAAGAAAAATACGTTTTTTAAAAAAGTTGTGTCACAGTCTAGCTGGCTTTCCCTAATTTGGGGGAGGGATGTTATATTTGTCAGCACAGGTCACTGCTTTCAAGGGTCTTTGGCAATGGAGTTCAATGCCATCTGGTAGACCTACTAGACAAGAACACTTCCACAATCCCTACCGCACCAAAAAACCTGCATAGACATGGATTTGCTTCTCTGTCTAATCAGAAACAAAGGTCGGAGTGGGTGATGGGAGTGGTGTGTGGGGAGGCAGATGGAGGGAGAGTTAATCGTGACTGGGGACTCAGGCTGCTTGGGGCTGAATCGCTGCCTGGCTGCAAGTTCCTGAGAAGCTGGCTAAGTCTTCACCACAAGGAGCACTGATAACCCCTGCCTCCTAGGGTTATAAGGTTCACAATGCCTGGCACACATTAGGGTCTCAAAAAATGGTACAAATTGTGTTTAGTGTTGCTGTCTAGACCAGGGGTTCTCAACCTCAGCACCACTGACATTTGTTCCAGATTGTTCTTTGTGGTGGGGGCCATCCTATAGGGTGTTTAGCAGCATCCCTGGCTTCTGCTCACTAGATGTCATTAGCACCACCTCCTCAAAGGTGACAACCAGAAATTTCTCATGACTTGGCCAGGTGTCCCCTGGGGAGAATGACTGGCCTAGAGCTACATTCTCTGCCTTGGTAATACAGATGGACAAAGTGGGAGCACCTCGGAGTCAAAGGCCAGGAAATGGACAAGTGAGCTTTCCAGAAGGAAGAAATTCAGTGTGGAGGTACGCGCTCCTCACAGCAAACATTTATTGAGCCCCTACTGTGTACCGGAAACTAATTTAGGTACTTTGTGTATATCAGTTCACTCCCCCACCCCAAAACACACAACGATTATATCTCATTTTGCAGATGAGGGATTGAGTTACAAAAGGATTAATTCCCCCAAGGTCATATGTCTCCTGAGATTAATTCCCTATAACCCAAGGTCAGGTATCTGCAGAGCCAAGCTCTGTCGGACACTAGAGCCCACATTCTATCCACTACACCATACTGCCTCCCCCTTGAGCCCAAATTTTGCCAAAATAACAGGGGGATCTTAGGAAGTGAGGAAGCAGGTGGGTGAAGGGGGTGGTCCGAGGACCCCTTTTATGGGGTGCGCCTGGGGCACGCAGGAACCACAGCTGTGTCAGCCCCTGCACAGCTGCAGCAACTTGAGTCTAATTTAATAAGCCTAGCATGCTCACTCCTACAGTTTTGTTGCTGCTTTAAATCCACAAGGCCACCACCAAGTAGCATTAAACCACACACTGCTGGAGCTGATATATTGGTTTTCTCTAATTTTGCACAGAAAATATGTGACGCGTCTCTTTTAATTTGACTGCTGAGGGGTACAGCGTGGTGAATACAATTTGGCAGCCCCAAAGGGGAGGCTCTGTTCTAAAGACAAAGGCTCAGTTTGACTCTCAACTCTTGGCTGGGTGGTTTGGGTTCCAGGAGTTACTGGAAGGAGAAATAGACTGGGAGTCCGAATCCTGGGTTCTCCATGTGGCTCTGGTGTCAATTTATTCTTTCATTTGGAGCGGGTCCCTTCTACGTTTTGGTCCTGAACTTCTCTAATTGGAAAAAGAAAGGGGGGGGTGGTGCCTGAATGAGCTCAGTAGTTTTTAAATTTTACTGTCTTTTCTTTAAACAGAACTTTATGCAGAACTCCAGGGTAGGAGAGTAGCTGCCCAGAGTTAATGCTGGGGTGGAGACCTTTGGCCGCTACCACTCTTGCACGAGCACAACAACACCTTAGGCAAAGAAGCAAGCATGATAATTACTGGCCTCAACTACAGTCCTGCCACAGGGCCTTGGCACGTACTGTTCCCCAGCCTAAAACTCTTTTCTCCCAACTCTTCTCTCTCCCTTCAGGTCTCTCTCAAATGTCACCTCCTCTGAGAAGCCTTCCCTGACCACACTCTAACACCATCTCTTATTTATTAGGCCCTTATTTATTGTTTACTTCATGGGACTTATGGCTAACTGTAATTACCTTATTTACTTATTTCCCTGTATATTTGCACCAGATTGTGAATCATCTGTCTCACCACTGTATCCCACCACTGAGCCCATAACAGCACCTCTGCGCAAATTAGAAAAAGATGGCCCTTCCTCAAGACAGCTTACTGTCATTTGCTACAAATGTGTCCTAATGGACTTACAAATCTGTGACAGCTACAAAACGAGGGCTACCTCTTGAGTTGTGCAGGGCACAGCCTGTGCACAGTAGCTCTGTCCATGCCCACCAGTGTCTGGCAGGTAGGGGGTGTTCAGTAAAAACCTGCTGACAAGTTGTGTGAGGTCTCTCCAACCGTTCCCAGAAACTCCCTGCAGCAGGACAGATTCAGGTTAGAGAATGAAGCTTCTCTTGTATTGAAATCTCATGGGACAAGAGCCAGAGGCAAACAGGGGCCAAGGACTGACGATCTCATTTTCTCTCAAAGGCCATGAGACAAAAGCCATGCTGAACAACAGCGGCCCGCGGTACAAACGCAGCAAGATCGAGCGGCGCATGAACACAGACATCTTCTTCTGCATCGGGATCCTCTTCCTCATGTGCCTCACTGGGGCTGTAGGTATGGAATGTTCTGGAAAGGACAACCCCACAATCATCTTCTGTTTCTTTGGCCGAGTTGCTGCAACTCGGAGCCTCAGTTTCCTCATCTAAAAAAAGAAAAGCCTCAAAGAAAGCCTACTCTGTATTTTAACAGGGTGCCAATTAAGTACAAATGTAGATGACATTCTCCTGAAAGTAGTATGCAATCTGAATCTTAGGAAGAGCATCTATCATGTATCTGTCCAAGAAATACTTCCTGAACCCAGGCACCCCCTTGTCATGAAAGGGTAACGAGATGAATCAATCACAGGACCGGTCCTCAAAGAGCAGGAAGGTCCTCATAGTCTAGTAGGAGGAGGTCCAACCTGAGAACAGAATCAGTAACACCATCTGTCCCACTCAGTGAGGGCGGTACCAGGTACTGTGCTCGTTTCCTAGTGCCACTGTCAAAAGTCAACACAAATTAAGTGGTTTAAAACAATGCTAGTTGATTCTGTTATAGCTGTGGAGTTCAGAAGTCCAAAGTCAGTTTCACTGGATTGAGACCAAGGTGTCCTCAGGGCTGCAGATTCCAGGGGGAGAATCAGTCCCTTGTCTTTTTCAGTTTCTACTGTCTGCCTGTGTTTCTCCCTTTGAAGCATCTTCTTTCATCTTCAAAGCTCATTACTCCAATTTCCACTCACACTTCCTTCTCCTCGCCTGTGGGAGTGTGGCCCTCTGCCTCCCTTTTATAAGGGCACTTGTAGTTCCTTCATTGGGCCCACCTGGATAATCCAGGCTCCTCTTTCCTATCTCAAGATCCTTAACTAAATCACATCTGCAAAGTTCCTTTTGCCATCTAAGGTAGCACATTCACAGGGCCCAGGGATGAGGGTGTGGACACCTTAGGGGGCCATTATTCAGCCCACGACCGGGATTATGGGAGCATCAAGGAAGAAAGTCTCACTGGAGCTGATTCCAGATGCAGGAGGTGCTCACCAGAGGAGGGCGGTGACAGGAACAGGATGGGGCAGGCAGCTGTGAAAGGAAAGAGAGAGGTCACTTTACCCCAGGGACAGCACAAGCAAAGCACAGCAGCAGGAAGGAGAGCCATGTTATGCAGAGTAGTGTTCGGCCATTTGGTGTGCCAAGAGCAAGGCCAAGGATGGAGACCTGATTAGAAATGGGCCGTGGCCAGGTTCTACGACGGCCAGGTGTAGACAGCTGTGGGAGGTGTAGACACCACGAGTGATCCGGAGCCATTTTAGTTGATCCTCAGAGGGTAGGGGAAGAGGGGCCCTCACTCTTACCCACTCTCCCCCTCTATGGCTTAACACTAAGGGTGGTTCTCAGGACCCTAAAGGAGACCCCAAAAAGAAGCAGGGAGGATCAAAAGGAAGAACTCGTATGCTGAGTCCAGAACCCCCTGCCAACCCCCCGCCAGTGAGAAGCTATAGCGTTTGTGCTTTACTTGCTTTTGTCAGAAATCGCACCCATCACTGTTTTTAAAAGACAGTGTCCAGGGGGTCCCCTGGTGGCCTAGAGGTTAGGATTCAGTGCTGTAACTGCTGTGGCCCGGGTTCAATCCCCGGCAGGGGAACTGAGAGCCTGCAAGACATGAGGTGGGGACAAAATAAAAAAAGATTAAAAGAAAGACAGTGTCCAAAGCTTAAGATCTCCCTAGGCCCACAGAGATTTTCTACGTCACCACAGTGAAGACAGTGGGATTCAATCTTGTGCGTGGCCTGGAGTTTTGATTGAATATGCTTCCCAGATGTGTCTAATGGCACTCCATGTGAGGGGCTCGTGGCTGGAAGGGCAGCACCCGCATGGGACGGAAGCAGGCAAACAAGAAAACCAGCTGTTCGTTTTGTGGGCCATCCCTGTGTCCCCGGAAATTCTGGAGAACTGTCAGCTCTGCTTTGGGACAGGTTTTTCAGGGAATGTCAGACCTGGAAAGGACACTGGAGATCATCTCACTGTGTCTCCAGGGAAAGGAAGTGAATGATTAAAAGGTCACAGAGTTAGATGAGATACAGGCCAACCAGAAGCAGCTTGGTAGATTGCCCAAGATAATAAATACGTGGAGAAAGTAATTGGGAGGGGCAGGATTCTATTCTGCCTGAGAATAACACAGGCCGCTGCTGGCACCGTATCAAACACAGCTCCCGCGGGAGGTGAAAGCTCTCGAATGAGCACCATTCAGGGTCATTTATCACGTTTGCTTTAATTGTGCGAAGATGGTGTTTCTTTTTTATTTGCCCAGAATGTCCTCCCCAGGCTTTTCTGATCACCCAGTACCCACCTGGGCTTCAGAACCCCTCCAGGCCTCCTCCTCCATGCAGCCTGCTCTGACTTCTTTCACGGTCTGTAGTAACCCTTACTCTGTGCCTTACATTTGGCCCTTAACCTCACGTCTGTAAGTCTCCTTTCTTCTGCTGTATCTGATGGTATGTGACCCAACCTCCTGTGCAAAGAAGTATCTTAGGGGAAGGGTAGGAACCCCTATGCCTTTTATTCTCTATAGTCCCTGCCCTGGGGCCAAGAGCATCATACACATTAGGTTATCCTGTTCTCACAACAACCCCATGGAGAAGGTATTATTACTAATTGACAGATGAGGATGCTGAGATTCAGAGAGCTCGGTGAGCGGTGCACTTATCAATCCTCACTTGATGGGTGTTGTTATCCCCATTTACAGTTAAGGAAACAGAGCGTTCGGTCTGCATCTGGCGCTGTCACTATGGGCTCTTGTAGTGTTCCAGGATCTGGCATAGCACCCCTCATGCTAGGTGGGATTTGTATCTTTACATCGGACTCCCTGACTTGGCAGGGAACTCCTCAAAGACAAGAAGTAGGACCGACTCCTTCTTGAATTAAAAAATTTTAGATAAAGGGAGGGAAAGGAAGGAGGCAGGGAGGAGTGAGTGAACAGAGATATAGATGGACGGACGGACGGATGGATAGATGGATGCATGTATGGATGCATGGACGGGTGGATGGGTGGATGGGTAATTGGATGATTGATTGGATGAATGGATGGGTGGATGGGTATGTGCATGGGAGAGAAAGAGGGACTAGGATACAGGTCTGTGAAGACTTCCCAGCCATGTACTTTCTACCACACAACTGAAAAAACAACTCATGCCCCTTTCTCGCTTCCCAACCCCTGAATAACAGGACTTCAACAAAATGTAAGTAATCCCCATGCTAGTCTCCTCTGGGAGGACAGACTTAATGCCTAGCAAGAGACTGAAATGTAGTATATATGAAGGACCACTTTAGAGCTAACTGAATACACACACACACACACACACACACACACGCACACCCCTATGTTATATAGAATAAGGATGGGTTCCTCCAAAGCACACTCATTTCTGGCAATAGGTCAGGGAAGGGCTGATGTAATTGACCCATTTAGGATTAATTGGAGATTTTGCCTCATGCCTGGCTTTGCCTCCTCTTAGGTCACAGCCTCTGGAATGGAACCTTTGCAGAACACCCTCCCTTTGATGTGCCAGATGCCGAGGGCAACTTCCTTCCCCTTGCCCTTGGAGGCTTCTATATGTTCCTCACCATGATCATTCTGCTCCAGGTAGGAGGCCCTCTGTAACTTGGGACTCAGAAGACCCATGGCCAATATCTGCACAACTTTGCAAACTAAAGAAAAATCAGCGCTGGCCCCGTGAAAGAACTAACTGGACTGAGATGGGGAAATGTTTATCGCTTTCTTATGGGTCTTTGAAAGTATTCACAACTAGGATTATGCCAGGACCAGCCCTGCCTTGTGGATTATAGCAGTGATCCACGTGTGCCTGTCCCTCTGCCAGATCTAAACAGGTAAACCCTAGTGACCTGGGAACAACAAAAGATAATGCAGCACAGAGAACTACCGAGAACTTTCAGACCCCAACCACTGAGAGAAAGAAACCACAGGTTAGTGTTTTCTGATTTGAAAGTTTGAGATGGAAAAAGAGAACTGGCACTATATAGGGGGAAAAAAACAAAAACATAGGGCTTCCCTGGTGGCGCAGTGGTTGAGAGTCCGCCTGCCGATGCAGCGGACACGGGTTCGTGCCCCGGTCTGGCAGGATCCCACATGCCGCGGAGCGGCTGCGCCTGTGAGCCATGACCACTGAGCCTGCGCGTCCGGAGACTGTGCTCCGCAACGGGAGAGCCCACAGCAGTGAGAGGCCCGCGTACCGCAAAAAAAAAAAAAAAAAAAAAAACATAGAGCACCTACGAGAGAGGTAAGAAAGGCAACGACTGTAGGTAAACACCTGCAGTGAAGTATAAAGAGACAGATTAAAAAAATCCTCAGGCGCTATAAGCAATCACAGTCTATGAAAAGATAAGGCAAGATGTACTTTTGTTTTAACAAAACCCCATCTATGTTTGAGTCCCTACAGTATTTGAGGGTGTTTCACTGTCCTCTTACTGATGATCCTTTTTCATTCATTAATTCGTTCATTCATTGAGCACAGTAATCCTTTTAAAATGTGAGTCGGGTCATGTGTCCTCTGCCCTGAACCCTCTGGTGGTTTCACATCCACTCAACGTGAAAACTGAAGTTCTGACTGCAACCAGCAAGGTCCTAGGTGATCTGGACCCCGACTCCCTCCTGGACCACGTCTCCGAGCTGTTTCCTGCACACTCACACACAGGCCTGCTGACTCTCGCGCCCGCCCTGCAAGCACCCAGCCACCCATGCGCTGCCCGGAACCCTCCCCCTCCCACAGATAACCTCACGCTCACACCCTCATTTCTTCAGGTCTCTGCGCAAAGGTCATGGCTTATGACCCACTCCCTCCCAGCCTTCACCCTTTTCACTTTTCTTTACTCTTTTTCAGGAGACTTACCGCTACCCAGTATCTATTTCTTTGTTTGTTTACTAGAATGTGAGGTTTTGTTCTGCTCACTGTCATTTGCAGGACCTAGAACGGCATGTGACACATAAAGCACCTGATAGGTACTCGGTATTGGATCAGTGGGCAGTGACCAACAGTGAGTCTGAATAGGAAACAAACTTATGGTCACCAAAGGGAAAAGGTGGGGAGAGAGATAAATTAGCAGTTTGGGATTAGCCGATACACACTACTACATATAAAATAGATAAACAACAAGAATCTACTGTGTAGCATATTCAAAACCTTGTAATAAATGACAATGCAAAAGAATATATATATGTATATTATATACATAAAACTAAATCACTTTGCTGCATACCTGAACCCAACACAACATTGTAAGTTAACTATCCTTCAAAAGAAAATGAGTCTGAATACCCGTCAAAGTGGGCAGCAGTCTTTGGTGGCATAGAGATCTGAGGGGCATCAGGAGACTCTGGACTGAGGTAGCTAGAGCTCCTTACCTCCTTCTGGTTCAGTCATTAAGCAAGCAATGGTGAGTGCCTACCCCGTATTGGATATCTCTGGTTGAAGAAAGCATATCTCTTTTTCAGATGACCCTAAGAATGCCAAGGGAGGCATGAGGTCATTAATCTTTAACTTCTCAGAGAAAGTCCATCATGTGAGCTGACCTGAGCTTTCCATGAAATCCCTTTGCTACTCCCATCACCCAGTGAAGGTTCTGAGATGGGTGACTGGCCCGTTTTCTGATACGATGGGAATTGATCTCCCCACAGATACTGATCCCAATCTCCCTGTACGTGTCCATTGAGTTGGTGAAGCTCGGGCAAGTCTTTTTCCTGCACAATGACCTTGACCTGTATGATGAAGAGACCTATTTGTCCATTCAGTGTCGAGCCCTCAACATCACTGAGGACTTGGGCCAGATCCAGTACATCTTCTCTGACAAGACGGGGACGCTGACCGAGAACAAGATGGTGTTCAGGCGTTGTACCATCATGGGCCACGAATATTCTCACCAAGAAAATGGTACGAGGGCTTCCAGGGGCTCCCACCCCTCTCCTAAAGGAATTGCCCCTGCCCTCCTGAGAGAATGATGATAAAAGCCATTATCCTGGCTCCCAGCAGAGGCTGGGTGGCTCTGTGGGTAGTAGCTTCCTGCATCCCTGTGGCTTCCTTGTCAAAGATCAATGCTGTTCTTATCACTTGTAAACTTTCATTTGTTCACAAAGGCTATCAGTGATCTCCTGTGTGGTAGCCCTCCAGTCGGTTGATCTTTGGTGCCATTTACACACAGGATTTTTTTTCTGTCAGGAATGCACTGGGGAAATGTCCAAATTATGTGCCAGTCATACAGCCAAAGTTTAAGAGTTTGTCAGGTCCCCCTACCTGACAGGACAGGCCCAGGTGTAGGCACATGGTGAGTTGTGATACATCCAGGAAATGCCCTCCATACTAAGTGATCTCTTAGATTTTCACTGACGCAAAGCTTTGCCTTAGGGGACGTGGCTATAAAATGCCTGGACTGTCATCTTGCACAGACTGAAGGTGGCCAACAGAGCTGACTGATCCCCTCAGCTCCCTCCCCCGACAACACACACACACACACACACACACGCTTCCTAACTAGGAGAAGAAACTCACAAGAGCAGCATTCATTCTTTTGAGTGGGAGGGATGGAGAAAGAGAAAAGAGGGGATATTATTAGGTGTTCCAATCCCCTTTGCCACAGTGGGTAACCATTTACATGGAGCTTCTAATCTCTTCTTAATAATAATACAGCTACCACTACCAGTCCTTAGAGTATGCTAATCACTTTTATATCATTATATCATTAAGTCACAACCCTGTGAGTTAGGTACTTTTTATAACCCCTAATTGAGTAAAGAGAGGCATGGGTTATGCGAAGCGCAAAGTCACATAGCTAGGAGGTAGGAGAGCCAGGATTTGAACCTGTGCAACTTAGTTGCACCCCTCTTTCACCAGCTAGGGTAGCCAGCTGCCTACTCTTAGCTCCACCCCCAAAGTCTGGCATCTCCCCAACCATGATCTGGCCAAGGTATGACTGGCACAATAACGGGGTTCCTTTCCTGCAGCTAAGCGACTAGAGACCCCAGAGGAGCTGGACTCAGACAGCGAAGAGTGGACCCAATACCGGTGCTTGTCCTTCCCAGCCCGAAGGGACCAGGGACCAGCAACAATAAGGGGCCAAGGAGGGTCCCAGCCTCTGAGGAGCCAGAGTGCCCGGGCACGCATCCAGGGCCACTGGCGACAAAGGTCCAGGGGGCGCTGTGAAATCTCACAGCCCCCTGTGGCCTTCAGCAGCTCCATAGTAAGTCCCTGCCTTTTCCTCTTTGAATTGCTAGTGGCCTGTCTCAGGGAGAGAAGGGGGAGGGCTCTGGGGTATGAAAGAGAAAAGGGTGTATAAACCCTGAAGAGCTCTCAGAATGGCAGCTCTTGGTCTTGTATGTAATCTACACAGGGTTTTGGGGGCACGTAGGATTCTTGTTAATTTCAAATGTTCAATGTTTAGAAATTGGGAGATTTCTAAATGGAATTGAAAAAAGTGTCCTCACTAAGCCGGCATTTCCTTGTGGCAAAATAAGTGGTTTGAATGAAGAAGTCGGTACTCAGCCTGGGCGTGTGCCATCCTCAGTTTATCGCTGTCCCTCACCCCTCTCTCTGTATCCTCATCCCTGAGCTGAGGCCCAGCAGCATGTACATTATGCATTTTTTCCAAAATACAGTTAAGAGGAAAAAGAAATATCTGACATGTCCATGTTTCTATAAAGTGGAAAAACAAAAGATGAGCCCCCGTAAGACTTAGGTTTCAAGAAAAAGGGGAGAATGTATTTATTGTGGTAAAGAGTCTTAAATTGTTATGATGCAAAGAACATCTCTGTCAAATTTACTCAGTCCACCTCACTCCCTTAGGCTAACTGTCAGGCCCCTAGGATGTTCGACTTTGCAACTTCGGGGCTTTCTGCATCTGGTCTCTCACATTTGATCCACTGGGATAGTTACCACTAGACGTCCAGGCAGCAGGTGAAGAAACTGAGTTCCTTCCCCAAGATGACACAGCATGCCCAAAAAGTCAAGGCCAGAACCAGGGCCTCTGACTCCTGTCTTATCCCACTTTCCTCTGCACCAGGCTCTTCCTCTGGGGAACACATCATCCAGAGTCTTCTGCACTTACAGAAAAGGCCTCAGGGAGCCCCAGGTATCTTGAACAAGACACACATACAGAGGGACTGAAAGTGCTATTATCCCATTATTAGAACATTAGGTTTTCGGGCTTCCCTGGTGGTGCAGTGGTTGCAAGTCCGCCTGCCAATGCAGGGGACACGGGTTCGTGCCCCGCTCCGGGAAGACCCTACATACCGTGGAGCGGCTGGGCCCGTGAGCCATGGCCTCTGGGCCTGCATGTCCGGAGGCTGTGCTCCTTAACGTGAGAGGCCCACGTAAGCAAAATAAAAGAAAAAAAGAAAAAAAGAACTTTAGATTTTCAAAATGATCATTTTGGTGAATTTCCTTCCAGTCTTTTATTTCCCCCACTAATACACACACACACACACACACACACACACACACACACAAACTACATATTTTAACATTTTTGCAGTCATAGTACACATAAATTATAGCTGCTGGGTTCTTTTTTTTTTTCTTTTTTTTTTTTTTTGCGGTACGCGGGCCTCCCACTGTTGTGGCCTCTCCCATTGCGGAGCACAGGCTCCGGACGCGCAGGCTCAGCGGCCATGGCTCACGGGCCCAGCCACTCCCCGGCACGTGGGATCCCCCCGGACCGGGGCACGAACCCGTGTCCCCTGCATCGGCAGGCGGACTCCCAACCACTGCGCCACCAGGGAAGCCCTGCTGGGTTCTTTTAATCTGACATGATATCAAGAGCCTTTTCCACATTGTTACCTAGTATTCATTATCCAGGACTCTGTTTTCTGACTGTGACAAGAAATGCTGTGAGTCTGTATGTTCTGGGCTGTTGTTTAATCTAACTTTAAGTAAGTACAAATTTAACTCTCTTATGTTATTATCATGCACAGAAATGCAATAGTAGCAAGGAGAAAACAATAACAGTGTGTTAAGACATATGATGCTTATAAACCTACAAGAAGAATGATCCTTTGAGAAGATTTTGGGTTTTATTTTTCTTTTTGATTTTCCCAAATGAAGTAACAACAAGACATGCATATTGTCAAGTCTTTCCTTCTTTAATTTAATTCTGTCCCTTCTGAATGGAATGCCCTTGCCCTCAGCTCTTTACCTAAATATCTGGACAATGAATTCAGTGAATTCTCATTGGGCACAGGTAGTAAGCCTTGCACTACTGGTGTCTTTTGGCATCTTCCAGTTCTAGATACCATGGGCATCCCGTGTGTCTGAGAATGTCTCCCCCAGGACACGGGGGAAGAAAGGAAGCTTTCCTGTGTAGATCTCATTTGGGATACACAGATTCATTGCCCAGCCGGACAAATCTCAGCAGCCCAGAAAAATTGCAGCCCTGAGTCAGTCAGTATAACTTTTATTCGGGGCCCTTAGCTGATGGTCAGTGAAAGGGACACGTTAACTTATGAGCTGCCTCCAGATCCTGGATGTCATTGTTCTGCCCTGGCTGGCACATTCCAAGTCCAGTTCTAACTAAATACATTTAGGAACAACAAGGAAATGGACACATAGAGTGAGACCCAACTCTTTTTGCCTCAGCAAGAGAGGATGGTGATGTGTTCCCTTCATGAGCTGCTAAATATGCTGTTCTACAAGTCAGGCTGAAAATCTGGGGTCAGTGGGACAATAGCATCCTGGCTATTTGTTAGGGAGGGCACTGGGCCAAGGGTCAGGAAACATAGGCTCTGGTTTCAACTCTGCTAAGGCTTGCTGCGTGGCCTTATGCAACATGTTAAACCTCTCTCCCTGTTTCATCACCTGAAAATACGTTGCTTACAACTCTGACTGGCTGTTCTGAAACTCAGATACCATGATGCTTGTGCTGACCTGCAAGGTCTCTGCCAGCTATGAATTAAGCACATTTGGGGTCACATGTCCCAGGTTCTCATCTTTGCTCCACCGTGTATTAGCTCCGTGACTTTGGTCAACTCAGTGAGCTGGAAGCCTCGATGTTCTCATCTTGAAAAGGGATTATGGTTGTTCCTCGTGAGTTGATTTTGAGGATTTAATTCTTAAAGCTCATGTGTTCTAGACAGATGGATAACTAAGAGAAGTTTTAAATGACTTTTCTAAAGGAAAGCTGTCTGCCTTGGACAAACATGCACATAACTGATGACAGGGAGGGGAAATGGGAGTTTTCATAAAACACAATGTCAAGCTCTCTCCCCTGAGATTCTGGGATATTCGGTCTAGGGTGGGGCCTGAGCATTCATGTTTTTATTTCTGATGATTCCAGTGAGCAAACAAGATTGAGAAACGCTCCAAGCATACCATCACCCCACTGGAAAATGGTCTTCATTTGGCTCAGACGGGCACCTTGTACAGCATGGGAGGCATTGGCTAAAGGGAGTGATGTATGTTGCCTTAAAGGGCTCTGACACTAACCTGTAAACTCTTTGTGGCTGAGTGGCAGACCCTTGAGTGAGTCCATGGAGAACGTCTGCGGCAGCCCCAGGGGGATGCCCTGGCTCCTGGCTCCCACTCACCCCCGCTTGGCAGGCTTTCTGTGTTGCCTCCTCTTACACCCGCCCGTCTGGCAACCAACCTCATTGGGTAATCTCTTGGCAAAACCAGTGCTTTACCTTTCCTTTGTAAACTCAGCCAGAACTTGCCTCTGAAGCCCCAGGGATGCCAGGTCATGGCGGAGCGCCCAACCCCGTTCCAAAGAAGCCCATTGCTCTGAACCAAAAATCAACAATAACAGCCACTACAACAAAAGCTGGCTTTTTTCTTTTACTACAAAGATCAAGGAAGCATCTGTTATTGTTGTCTAATTGGCTGCTCTAAAATCTGTGGCTTTAGGGTGGGGTAATATTCTTAGGAAAGTGGTGAGTTCTGAGCCAGCATTTAATAGTCCTGCCGGAGGGAAAGTGAAATGCCTTTTCCCCCCTGGTCTGTAAGCAGCCAAGATTGGAGTCGAGAGTCTTTGTTTGGACATGCCACTTGGAAAAATAGTTTTGGGTCATCAGAGCAAAGACTGTTTTCCTAATCATAAAGTTTGCATCAGGGCTGTTTAGGCTCCAAACCCCACCACCTCTCCCTTCTGTGGGCACGACCCCTCCCACCTGTCTAGAAAGAATGCAATAGAGGGAAGTAAAGGCAGTGTCTTTGGCCCTCTGCCTCCTTTCTTGAAACTTGGTCTTCCTTTCATTCTTGGGAAGATATTTGTGCCATACTTATAGTCTGCTCTGGGTTGACAGGGACGGCCCACATGCACAGACTCCAACGGCAAGGTTAGGTAAGAGTCCTGAGTTAACTAGTCAAGCGCGCAAAATCTTTTAGTAAGTGATGTGACCACACAGGACAAGAAATGGATGAAGCCTGTCTCAGCTTTGCTTCCCTTAGCTCCCAGGGTCCCAAATGGGGGCACACAGCTGTGGTGACCCTTTTCACAGAACTGGGTCTTACAAGATCTGGGATGCTTCTTTCTTTTTTTTTTTTTATTGAACTATAGTTGATTTACAATATTGTATTAGTTTGTGGTGTATAGCAAAGTGATTCAGATAGATAGTTAGATAGATAGATAGATAGATAGATACAGACATATTCTTTTTCATATACTTTTCCATTATGCCTAATTACAGGATATTGAATACAGTTCCCTATGCTATACAGTAGGACCTTTTTGTTTATCTGTTTTACGTATAGTAGTTTCTATCTGCTAATCCCAAACTCCTAACTTATCCCTACCCACCCCCTTTCCCTTTGGTAACCATAAGTTAGTCTTCTATGTCCATGAGTCTGTTTCTGTTTCATAAGTAAGTTCATTTGTATCATATTTTAGATCCACATATAAATGATATCATGTGGTATTTATCTTTCTCTGTCAGACTTACTTCACTTAGTATGATAACCTCAAGGTTCATCCATGTTGCTGCAAATGGCATTATTTCATTCTTTTTAATGGCTGACTTAGACACACACACACACACACACACACACACACGCACACACGCACACACACCTTCTTTATCCATTCATCTGTCGATGGGCATTTAGGTTACTTCTATGTCTTGGCTATTGTAAATAGTGCTGCTGTGAACGCTGGGCTGAATATATCTTTTTGTTGTTGGGTTTTTTTTTGTGGTACACGGGCCTCTCACTGCTGTGGCCTCTCCCATTGCGGAGCACAGGCTCCGGACGCGCAGG